GGACGTATGTTGTTATGTATTTTATTTCATACTGTCAACATACTTTTTTATTCGATAATATTATTATTATTTTGAGAAAAAATCCAAATCAAGTCACTTTTTCTGACATCGTTAGCAACCGCTCTTTGGTAAATGTTTTAATTTGTTTATTCGTGCAAATCAGCATCATATGTTTAAACACATAGTACTTATAACACTTTACAGGACTTATTGTTTTGTATAATCCGACTCGATGGACGAATGTTTTGTGCAATCCGTCTCGAAGGACCAATGTTTGTGCAACTCGGCTCGTCCTACCAGTATTTTTTGTAATCTGGTTGATACGACAATGTGATACCGAATTGTACTTTGATATTGCTCCAAGGACCTTTGTTTTCTTGCGTGCGAGATAATAGACGGCGTTCGGTTTCGATGTTTAATACAGGACGGTTACAGAAGTACTAAATTTACATTTGTATTTACAATAACAGGTAAAGCAAAAGAGACCCAAAAGGGTCAGTGGCCGCTTCCGGAAATGGAAGACTTGTCCTTTTTGGCCACGGAGGTAGAAGAGTGTCTCTTCTACCTCCGTGTTTTTGGCTCAATTTTATCGGACTTGTCCGTTTTTTTGATTTTACCGGAATAGTTCGATCCAGTAAAACGTCAAACTTGACATAGTATGAAGTAAAATAAATAAATTTTATGATGTAAATACAATTAATTGTATCGATAATAATTCGCTACTGAAAATTTATTGAAATATAATTTGTGTTAAAAAAAGATTTTTTTGGTTTTATGGTTTATTAAATGTAATTAAAATAAATAATATCAAGAACTTGTATTATATATCAAAAACATTCATTGTAAATAAGAAAATTATGTAAATAAACCATAAAACCATACAAAATTTTCCTGCGACCTCTATTCAAAATCCCAGTTTACCAATAGGAATTAAGGCACAAAGATGTTTCACTGAATTTATTACCGATTTTTCAAGAAAAGTATGCTTATAAGCCTATAAGCGTCTAATGGGTTAAAACAACAAATAATAATCACAATTTATTTGTTTTATATGTTCATTACAATAATCCCATTTATTTACCAGAAACTTCTAAATGAAATAATATCTGGTTGACGAGAAATATCCGCAAATTTGTGTTAGGCTCATCTGGCAACGTTTTCGGTAGGTAGGTATCAATGGAATAATGCGATTAGGTATACTGACCGTTTTAAGGAGTGCTCGTCCAATAGTGCGTAAACTAAAAGATTTGGTAATTTTCTTGGAAGAGTTTGTTTCTTCAATGAAAATTTATGGTTTTTAATTCTTCGGCCGCTTCAAAGTCTCGCCATGTGAAAGTAGATTATTTGATAACCTGTTTCGTAATAATTGTAAATACGAACAAAAGCATATTTGCATATTCTAAACAACTGGCCATATCGATTCCAAACTTGTACAGATATGTTTTTTATTGTTTCTGTTTTCAATGAAATAAATTTTATTTGCAAAATACCTAATGTCTAACGACATATCACGCATACATACTACCCCATTTACTATATTTTCAATCTGTGCATTTTTCGCTTCATTCGTAGGAGCCAAGTAAGAAGTATCAGTGAGACCGGCGGACTTTCAATAGCTCGTAAATGAAAAGATTTAGTAAAGTTTCCTAGAACAGTCTGTCTCTTCATAAAAAAATTTAGACATTTTTACTATGAAATATAGGTACAATACGGTATATTCCATTGTTTGTTTTCTTTGAGATACGACTAGTTCTTGTCCCGAAGTGAAACACCAAAAAGTCTAAAGTCCGGAAATCAGAGTGAATTTTAAAACACATAAAACGACTTCTTTATTTATTTAAATATTGTCCTGTAACGTCCTGCGACGTGGAATGGAGTTTCTTAATGTACAAAAGTATGTTAGATAATAACCGAAAAATTTTCTTGATTAAAACTAAAGGAAACACAATTATTACTTGGAATAAAAATAAAGAATATCAAGAACTTGTGCTATGTATTAAAAATATTTAATTTCAAATAAGTAAATTATGTTAATAAACCATAAAACCACAAAAATCTTTTTTTAACACAAATTATATTTCAATAAATTTTCAGTAGCGAATTATCGATATACTTAATTGTATTTACATCATAATAGTTATTTATTATACAAGCGGTTAAAGTGAATGTTTAATGAGCGGCCAGTTTAAGGCGAGAGCGGAGTATGCCGCGAGCGCCTTAAGACCACGAGTTACACATTCATTTTAACCGCGAGTGTAATACAAACTTTTATTCAATTTTGACAACCCCAAGTCCCAAATTGTGAAAAAATTGGTGATTCAAAGTTCACATTCGAGAAACGTCAGAATTGACAGCGACCAAATAAAAGTTTTATATGCGTAGAATTTAGGTTACAATATCAGGTGTGTGTGTGTAGTATGTGACTCTGGCGACGGTGTTTGTTTATTTTAAACAAACTAAAATTATCGAAAAATTGCAAAATCATGCAAGATTCCAACGGCAAAACTTGCTCCCAAAAAAGAGCAAATCAGAAAGTGTATCAAAAGTTCCTTAGATGGAAAGAGCAGCAAGGCATTGGAGAAATTACAGAAATGGTAACCATGGTTTTAAAACAGCAAAATAAAAATTTTATTTCGCTAGCGGTTTAAAAATTTTATGGTGCTACCGGATAAACCAAAGCTTTAGTGGCCTACTGACGGCAAAATAAACGTTTGTTTACATGTCAAAATTGAATAAAATTTATTTATTTTACTTTATACTATGTCAAGTTTGACGTTTTACTGGATCGAACGATTCCGGTAAAATCAAAAAAACGGACAAGTCCGATAAAATTGAGCCAAAAAGGACAAGTGTTCCATTTCCGGAAGCGGCCACTGACCCTTTTGGGTCTCTTTTGCTTTACCTGTTATTGTAAATACAAATGTAAATTTAGTATTTCTGTAACCGTCCTGTATTAAACATCGAAACCGAACGCTGTCTATTATCTCGCACGCAAGAAAACAAAGGTCCTTGGAGCAATATCAAAGTACAATTCGGTATCACATTGTCGTATCAACCAGATTAAAAAAAATATTGGTAGGACGAGCCGAGTTGCACAAACATTGGTCCTTCGAGACGGATTGCACAAAACATTCGTCCATCGAGTCGGATTATACAAAACAATAAGTCCTGTAAAGTGTTATAAGTACTATGTGTTTAAACATATGATGCTGATTTGCACGAATAAACAAATTAAAACATTTACCAAAGAGCGGTTGCTAACGATGTCAGAAAAAGTGACTCGATTTGGATTTTTTCTCAAAATAATAATAATATTATCGAATAAAAAAGTATGTTGACAGTATGAAATAAAATACATAACAACATACGTCCGGTAACTCTTTTCGCAGTACTCGTTTCGAAATTAAAGACTCGGCTACCTACTCGTCCTGAAACATATCACTCGTACTGTAAAATTTGAGCTACCGGACCGTATTTAGAATAACTTTAATTACCATTTATGTTTTCATCAACACTAACAAGTATTTAAAATAACAAGTAATAATTTGTTTGTATTGTTTATTCATTATAATAATTCCATTTATTCACCAGAAACTTTTAAACGAAATAAAATCTAATCGACTAGAAATAACGGCAGAGTTGTGCTAGGCTCATCTGGCAACGTTGCAAATTATATAAATGGTTACTATGAGATTTTTACACATTGTTTTCGTCGCCCTCTGTCGAGTGGTAGCTTTATTAAATGTATTGTTGCTGCGATTTGGGTTATCTACGCGCGCGATTGGTGTCCAAGCTTTTCGCCGGCGTTTGACGGCCGACTGTTGGTGCGCCATCTCTTGTTCGCCGGCCGTTGGCCTGTTCGCTCCAAACAATAGCATGGGTCTATCTATATGTATTTAATCAATGCCCAGTGGTACTTCCAAACTACCATAAAACCCAAACCTTTCCCAGTTATTTGAAGCTCAGGACAATATTTGCAATATGACTCATGAAATTTCGTCTTTCTAGAAAAATGCCGACCGAATGGTATTTTTTTTTTTCAAAGTAGCACAAAAATTGATAAAAATGCAAAATATGCACCCGTTACGTGAAATATGCAGCAGAAGGCAAATATATGCAAATAAGCATTTTTTTTATAGCTGTATTCATTTTTAATTAGCATGATTCGTTCACATATTAAATATCACGACTTATATGCAAAAAATAACGGATATGCAAATTTCATAAAATCCGCTCTCTACTGATGATAATGAGGATTGTCAATAAAGACCGATGGAAATAAAAGTTCTGGTGGCACAAACTAAACTTTTCATGATTTTGTTGACGTTTGTTTATAATTTCTAGTTTTTGTATTTTTTGCCGACAAAACCAAAGAGAATTTGTTTTTTTTTATTAATGTTTCTGTAATATTGTAATGTACCATATTAATCTTGGTTAAATTAGGGATAAATATCTGGTCACTAAAGCTATTATGAAAGTAGCCAACAACACAAAAGACAATCAATTTAGGGATATTAGTTTTGACATACGTGTTGCTTTAGAATGTGGATTGAAGCAATAACACAATAGAAGCAACAACTGTTATTTTGGACCTCCTCTAAACCTTGTTAGATTAAAGTGAGCAATATTTTTTCACTCATGGGATTCATCTTCAATGCCCATCTCCAACTCGACAAAAAATCTTCATGTGATCCAAATAAATTTAAATTATTGGAATTATCAACAAGGTGTATTACGCGTTGCCTGCTTTACATTGTTTATAATACTTAAATAATATATGCTGTACTTAAGCAAGTTAGTGTTTATCATTTTACATTTGTTCTACAATAAACTTTATTTTATTCACTCTCTTGTAAATTCAAAAGTGGGTGTGTATTAGGAACCCCAGATTTATGCCCTGGACGACCATTATTGATTTAAACTCTGGGAAACGTCCTTGACTACCCAGCGAACGCGCATGCTCGAAGTCTGTAATTTGGGTGGGGGTGGTGCGCCGTAGCCCAACATGTGGAATACGCAGGCGTACCGAGAGCTGACAATTCCTCATTTTTATTTATTTCTTTTTTCGTTTGGTTGTGCTGTTACATGGAAGCATCATGAAGGTGAGCGAAACAAGATTTTATTTCTCCAATTACATCGAAACTAACACAAAAATATAAGTTAAAGATTTGCGTGCGTAAAATCAAGTGACCATTGCGGTTAAAATTTTTCATGGCAACTTAGCGATGGTCGAGATACGGCTGGATCCATATTCAGCATACCACGTATGGAACTTTTAACCTCAGTTTTTAACAAAACGTACTTTTTTGCAGCTAAACGTGTCGTATCCTGCTACAGGATGTCAAAAGCTGTTCGAAGTGGTCGACGAACACAAAATTCGGATTTTCTATGAAAAACGGATGGGTCAGGAGGTAGAAGCTGACCCTTTAGGCGATGAGTGGAAAGGCTATGTCCTCAGAATATCTGGAGGAAATGATAAACAAGGCTTCCCCATGAAGCAAGGTGTTCTCACTAATAGTAAGCTAGAAACGTGGTGAAGTGATTTTATTGTAAAATGTTTGGTTTTAAGGCAGGGTACGACTCCTGTTGTCGAAGGGACATTCATGTTATAGACCCCGTCGTGACGGGGAAAGGAAAAGGAAATCAGTACGAGGATGCATCGTGGACGGCAATTTAAGTGTGCTTGCTTTGGTGATTGTGCGTAAGGGTGAACAAGTAAGTGCCCCAGATTTTTATTTTACGGTTTGCAGTCTGATACGCAATTAATGGTAGATTAATTGTTGTAAAAAGTACTGCGTTACATTAATGTAGTGTCTTACCACACGTCAATTTTTCCAAATTGATGTGGAATAGTCACTACAACAACTAATTTAATAGTTAAGGGATGTTACTAAACTAATTGAGGGTTTTAGGATATTCCTGGTTTAACCGATACAACTGTCCCCCGCCGCCTTGGACCTAAGAGAGCCTCTAACATTAGGAAACTTTTTAATTTGAGCAAGGAAGACGACGTGCGCCAATATGTTGTCAAACGCCCCTTACCACAAAAGGAAGGCAAAAAACAACGTTTTAAGGCGCCCAAGATCCAGCGACTCATTACACCAGTCGTACTACAGGTAAGTCGTCTCAGTGTTTGAAATTTATTGTCACATTCAGGCAGTTTCTTAGTTACCACTAAACTAACGAAGCGTTCATGTATGTGATAAATTATTATTGTGATGTTCATTTGCTTGCGCACTTTCGTAGGCACAAAATATTGCAATTACAGATCATTTTTGGCAATTATGTTTGGACTAATCGGATTTTCTTTTTCTTTAGCGCAAGCGCCACAGGTTGGCCTTGAAGAAGAAACGTTGTCTGAGACGTAAGGAACTCTCAGACAACTATGCCAAACTCTTGGCCCAAAGAAAGAAGGAATCTAAGGCCAAGAAGGAGGAGATGAAGAGGCGCCGATCTGCTAGTCTTCGTGACAGCAAATCTAGCAGTCACAGCGCCCAAAAGTAAACATTTATTATGTTATTTTCAGAATAAATTGCGTCACCATAGTATTTGATTTTTTTTATTTATTTATTTTAAATTGTATTGTGTGCAAGTTCTAGAGCTGACTGAATTTTTCTTGTTTGGTCAGTGTGATAAACTTGCAAAAAAAGTATAGTTCATATCCCTAGGATAATTCAATACTGACGAAGTATCTTTCTACTGAACTATGACAATGGTAGACAGTGTTCTTGTTCTTTTTGTGCCTTTTAGAATGTTGTGATTCTTTTTTCCAACCAACTTCAACTTTAGCGTCACTACATTCTAAAATCGTTTTGAAGAATGTGTAATTTGTGTCTTAACCGTTGAATTACTTTCAGGTAAATGCACATCATTCTATTCTAGAGCGATATTTTCAAGGTAATTTTATATAAAGTTTATTTATTTTTCTTTTAAGTAGAAATGATGAAATTGCACGTTTTGTCTTCTTTTCCCGTCTGATAAGTCTGATGACGTTTAATCACTGAAGTTTTTTAATTATAAATACTATATAATCACCAGAAAATTTTGATTGAAGTTGTGTTTTTGTTGCAGATGACTAATTGGAAACTAAGTGTATTTGGCGAACTATGTGTACCCACTAGATATTAAGTGTAATTGGCGAACCTTTAAATTTAAGTCTACGTTAGGTCGTTGTATTTGGCGAGCTAATAAACTTCTAAATCCACGTTCGCTTGGTGTATTTGGCGAACTAGTACATTTTTAAATCCACATTAGATCGTTGTATTTGACGAACTAATAAAGTTTTTTTTTGAATGAATCATGTTTTTGAATTCCCCAATCACTGAGTTCTAGCGCGCAGCTGCGGCTTTATTTTCATGAGTTGGAAGTGCCAACGGCACCGATTGTTATACACAGCCTAAGAGAGTTGGCTTCCCAAAGAAAATCATCTACCTTAAGTTACACTTTGTTATTCTATAAAATAAATCGTAACCCGAGCGGTTCTTAGCTACCTTTCTTCTGATTGAACAATAGCGGCAGTGAGACTCAGTCACATTGTAAAATTTTATTGTATGCAACAGAACGTTTCTAGTATAACGATTGCGTTCTAGAATCGTTCCACAGCGATGTATAATGTGTTGCCTACTTCAACTTTCCCCGAAATGAGAAAGTTGTAACCTGCATTATCAACTCTTCACAAAAACAAAATGGCTGTTGTTAGTTAGAATTGACGTTTTGATGTATGTTTTTGAAATTTAAACCCAGTTTCCTCCAAAAAAAATACACAGCGATGCTTCCATATTTTAAAATAGCGTAGTTTAAAAAAAGTGGTGAGTTTTAGTGTGGAGGGAAAGTCAGTGTGGTGCATTTTACCGAAATGTTGTTTAATGGGTCACTCATTGATATTAATACATTTGGCAATATTTTGCAAGAAATTTGGACAGGATCGAGTTTGTACAGCTCCAAGCGGTGAAAACACTTTGGAAATTGTCGCTTTTCTCGTGTGACTTTTACGAGCACGATTTGATTAATTTTTGATAGAAATGTATTATTCATTTCCGTTATTTATCAACTAATTACATGAATAACAAACGAAATTGTGTGAATAGATGTAAGGAATTTTTGTTGATGTAATTTCGGTAAAAGTGATTCTGTTTAATTCAATGCTCGTCCTTGCCTCACACTTTTCATTTATTTCATTTTCTTTCCAGTCAACGATGTTTTAAATCAAGTGATTTATTCTTGAGTGATGACCAGCCAAAACTCGCCATTTCCTCAGGTAAGTGAGTGATTTGAATACTAAATAAATTTCCGCGTTGTTTGGGTCATACCAATAGAAATTTTCCAGAGGTATCAGCACATTTTTGAGTACCGACAAACAGATGGTCAATGTTACCCCATGACCACTTCACATCCACCTACAGTTCCTGCCAGAGGAATCAAAAGAAGTACTCCCAGTGAAGTGACCCGTCTCCATGATGAGCCATCATGGGTGAGTTAGTGTCTTATTGTTTTCATGGGAATTATTTCCACACTTTTTCAATTATTATTTTTAAATAATGCGCAAATTCAGTACTCCAATTATTTTATTATATGTAGGAGGCAAAGTCTGGACGTTGATACAATAAAGTTAAGATGACATAACAACACAACCTTGAAATCATTATGTCATTACAATTCCATACTATTATGTTTGTATAATTAATTGTATGTACGAGTTATTGTGGTAATCTAATGCAGTTTTTCATTTGACGAAATCCCGCTTTATTGGTATTTAGTTATAAAATCGCTATAAATGCATTTAAATTGACGTTTTTAAATTAGTGAACACGAAGCAAGGACGATGCGATTTTTCCTTGTTTCTATTCTATGGAAATTATTATCACGGAATGTACTGTCAAAACGCACCGAGACTGTATACAAGTGGGCGTGGTTGTAACCTCATTGGTTCAGTTCGCAAATTTGAATAAATTTCATTGGTTTTAACATTACACGTACCTCCATAGTTATTGTTTATACATTAATTGGGAGATTGCGAATTTCCCCATGATTGATATAATGATAAAATGGTGACAGAGTGTGGCAGTGTTTATTGTTCCGTAACATCACCCAAAGATAAAATACTACGTATTATAATAAATTATTACCGGTTTTTAAACGAGGAAGAAAACGTCCTGTTTGTGCCGTGAAACTTTATAACAATTGGGTTTGTCATAAAAATGTTGAAAAATCACATATCAAAAAGTAGTTAGTGTGAGTACATACTTGACGCACATGAAAAACCCTTGCACATTTGACGTAAACGGAAAAGATAAATTCGCGTTTAGGAAATGACCTTGACGCACGATTTAACCAAACATAATGTTATGCTGGGATTTAACTGTAAATCACTTTATTAATCTAAATATAAATAGTTTAGTGGTATCCTGCCGCGTTTAAATGTGCGTTTGTTGAATAATTACTCGTATTTTTACGAATTACAACGAATGTGTAAGCCGCTGCGATACGTAAATGTTTCTTTAAATACTCGAGAAACGAGTTGCTAAGCAACGAAACTGACAATTTTGTACTGTTGTGTTGATGATTAGTGGACGAGTCGTTTTGGTTGCAGATGGCACCTAAAGATATGGCACCCCCCATGGACAATAGCGTCAAACACGACTGTAATTTAAGTTTAAGGTCTCCAAATAACATGAATATAAGCTCAGAATGTAACAATTTTAAAAATGTCCGTCATGATGTCAACGTGAACCACGTCCCAAGCCTAACGAGATCGAACTCTAAGTTTAATACACCGTAAGTTGAATATGCGTAATATTTGGATAAAATAATTGTAAGCCAGTTGGTTTCATGGTAATATTTCCCGGGAGAACGCCGAAAATTTATTATCTGCCCGAACGGACGGACTCTTCCTTGTTAGAGAATCAACGAATTTTCCTGGCGATTATACACTGTGTGTTTGCTATGATAGTAAGGTCGAACATTATAGGGTAAAATCGCACGGAGGCAAACTGACAATAGATGATGAGGAGTTTTTTGATAATCTCGAAGAAATGATAGAACATTATAAAAACGACGCCGACGGCCTTTGTACCAAATTAGTGAAGGCCCTGTGCAACGAAAAGGTGAAGGAAAACGACGATCTTTGTGTTATCTCAGAACAGGAGCTCGAAGTAAGTTAAACGCTAACGAGTATTGTGTGACTAGTACATGTGTGTATACCCAGATTTGCGAACCGATCGGTAAAGGAGAATTCTGCGAAGTGATGTTGGGTAAATGGAAGAAAAATAAAGTGGCTGTTAAGGTTTTAAAAGATTCCAGTGAAGCGGAAGCGATTTTGATGAAATCTTTACACCACGAAAATTTGGTGAATTTGTTGGGGATTGTGAGGAAAAAAGATCAAATATATTTAGTGACGGAATATATGAGTAAAGGGAGTTTAGTAGATTACTTGAGGTCGAGGGGACGCTTACACGTTACAAAGAAAGATCAAATTAATTTTGCGTATGACACTAGTTCGGGGATGGAATATTTAGAAAAAATGCATGTAGTTCATAGAGATTTAGCTGCCAGAAATGTACTCATCGCGGAAAATGGTGTGGCCAAGGTTTCCGATTTCGGATTAGCGAGGAAGGAGATGAATCCTACGTCTGAATCAGCAAAATTGCCTATTAAATGGACCGCTCCAGAAGCTTTAAAACGAAACGTAAGCAACATTTTCACTTTTTTCCGGTTTAACATCGTCTTTCAGATGTTTTCCAATAAATCAGACATGTGGAGTTTTGGGATTCTTTTGTGGGAAATTTATTCTTTCGGTAGAGTTCCTTATCCAAGAATAGTAAGTAGTTTGGTTTTGTGCGCATGCGTTACTCAAGTTTGGTTGTAGCCCCTTGCTGACGTTGTCAAACATGTAGAAAAAGGGTATAAAATGGAGGCTCCAGAAGGTTGTCCATCGGAAGTGTATGAAATCATGAGACAGGTGACTAATAAAAATCAAACTTGACTGAATTTAATATTTTTTTTGTCTAGGCGTGGGATTTAAATCCAGAGAAAAGACCGACGTTTCAGGATGTGAAAGCCAAACTTTTACACCTGAAGCAACAAACCTCCTGAAAAAATCGTTCTAGTGTGTAATGTAGGATTATGTGTGAGTGGACGTGAGTGCACATTGTGTGATCAACATTGTAATTACACTTTTATTGCAATTATTATTCTAATCATTATTTTAGATTTTTTATTGTACAATTATTATTTTTTTATGTGGTGTGCTTCAGGAAACTAGGAACATGTTTGACAACTTTTGCCGTACTTTTTTGTAAGATTTAATATTTATTTTTTGAAATTTGTGTAAATTTAGACGTACTTAAAGCAAGTGTTCAATCATGAATCAAAAATTTTATTTGCTTATAGAAATAATCTCACATTGGTTATTTAACTTGTAATATTTTGTAAATTTTTAAAAATTTATACTTTTCCGAAATTGAGATTCTTTATTTTATATATTGTTTAGTTATAAATAATGTCAAGACTCTATAGTTTTAAAAGCTGTAATTCTAGCTTTCATTGCCGATTCAAGTTAAGCTCATCTATTTTTGTGTAAACAATTTTTTTCGAGATATTTCATTTTGTTATTACGAATTTCGAGATTTTAAGTTAAATTGTAACTCAGCGACATCCATTTCAACAATCATTAAATGATAGAGATTAAGAATTGGCGGTTTTATTAAAATTTGCTTCGTAGTATACACCCGGACTATCGACTAGTGACGTCAGGTTTCGTTGCTTAGCAGCGTACAGTACGAGGTACGGTCAACAATCAAGAAAACTCGCCGCGTATCCAAAAATGGTGGGTAGGTTAGAAAAGTTCAACCCACATCCAGTAACAAGTGGTAAGATTATGTACTTTATGTTGTAATTGGAATTATAAAGCCCCTAACACACTCGACGCAAGGGCAAAGTAAATGGGTGCTTTATTTGGAAACTATGCGCATGACGGAAAAGTTGACCTTGACCCAAATATGTCAGTGGCATAACGTTAAAGTACATCTAAACATAATATTTATATTTACTCTAATTTTCATGTGAACGACACCATAAAGTTTACGTTTATAGCCATTATTATATGTTAAATTGACATTTTTTAACGTTTTGAGAATTACAATTTGTCAGTGTTCAACGTTACGTTTAAGTTTACGTCAACGTAAACGGAATTACAAACCTTGTGGTATCTAGAAACCGAAAATTATTATTAAACAAATCACATGTTTAATTTAAACACAACTACATATTTCTTGAGTGTTGATATTTTTACTATATGAAGTATTTAAGCGACGTAATTCATAGACGCGAGCCGTAAGTTGTCGTTCACATTTTATCTTAAAAGTTAACGCAAATACGTTTTTAAATAATGAACATATTTTTCATTCAGTACACACTTCGCACCAGGCCTACTTGGATATTAGAATGATTTAGAAAACCCGGTATTTGGATACTAAATACATTTTGCAATTTTGGATTTTAGCCAACCTGAATAAACATAATGTATTAAAATTTAACAATCCGACTGTGGTACGAATTTCGAGATCTGGTAATACCGAACGTTTTCGATGCGTCCGGACCGCTCATATCTGACAAATCAATAAAGTTTTCGAGCACACTTCATTCCTGCGATCTAATAACCGAGCAGCGCTACGTCGAATGTGTGCAGCCACTTTTCTAAAGGCTTTTTCACGTGACGTGAATGGAAACGCAGTCATAAAGTTAAATATGTGTCCTGTTATCGATTGTACACGTAACGGAAACTACGTTTGCATTCATAAAACGCCCTTGATGTATGGACTGGCCACAACCTCTGGGTAAAACTTGAATTTGAGATTGTTTGTTATGTATTTGTAAAATTTGATACGCGTTTTGGTTGCGTTGATGTTTTGTAATGATTTAGAACCACTTTTGGTGTCTGGAGTAGTTTTTCTTGTCGTTTATTGAAATATACTATGAGTTTTTAAACATAAAAATGACACTCTTCTGAATAAGTTTTTCAAATTTCCCGCGCTTTCAAAAGTTAAATAAAAACCGCTCTTTATTTGAAATGAAGCCAAGAGAAATCGATTGGATGAAGATCCGCAGGTCTGTGGGTCACCGAATATTCTGCATATTTAAGTAGGTCTGTCAGATCACCGAATCTTACATCACGTAACAACAAAAGAAAGGTTGTACACGTTTTACAAGAGTGAAAACTCATAATAGGGGGAGAAAAATTTAAAAATCTAACTAGTCTATTTTAAAAATAGAACAAATCGATAAAAGACAGTTTGTTTATTTACGTACAAAAGTATTAAAATTTGCTGCATCTTGTAGCATTGTCTCGTGATTTCAGAATTGTTGATAAAATATCCGATGTGTGTCACATCTAGTTATCTATAGCTAACAATACATTTTATTAATCTTGTCATTGACTGATGTAATCTCACACATAAATCACTTTCTTTGGTGAAGTTTTGTAGGAAGAAAGAGCCGTATGAACATTTGACGTAATCACATACACTTTTATGGTCAATTGCTTATAAACAGACGTTAATGTGACAATTTGATTATTTTATTAGCGACAGTAGTGTCAATTTTAACATAGTGGGTGATTGACAACGTACCTTGTCTTTTGCATATACCTGTACTTTCCGTCCTTTGACGAACTCCACTGATGTGTCAAAAAAACAAACAATACGTTGGTAAAACATGTTTATTAGTACAAATGTAAGAATAAAATCACATAGTATCTGAAAACAGAACAGCGTTCTAATAAATATGATTAATGTTCAAATAAGAGCAACCTCTGAAATTAACCAAATGAACCATGAATAGCGAGTGAAACAAAACTCCTGTAAGATCCTAACAACAAATACGTGTTTCTGTAGGGTTGAAACACTGACAGCGTGAAACATAAACGGAAAATTTCATATGTCTTTTAGTTCGGCAGGCACCTCATTCTTTGGGTGTTTATTTTCGAAGTGTTGTTTATAAGTTTTGGGGTCGGGCATTTGGGCCTAAAAATAGTCATCCACAAACTGACCACTCACACGTCCTCCACCCGCTTACCTTACAGACAGTACAAACGTGCACCAGAGCTTTCTGTGCGGCCTTCTTCTGGTCAGTAGCACTATGGCCTTGTTGTTTTTTTTGCTTAGCAAGCTTTTCTTGTGCTCTGGCTTGCGATTGTAGCTTCTGTTGTCCCCTAGCCATAGTTTAATAATAGAACATTCACCTACGAGATAAACGAGATGATCTGTGAAAGTATCCAAGTACAGTTATTTCTATTTAAGAGAAATGTGACTACTAACCTAAAAGTGTAAAGGTGGCAAGAACTCAACGGTGATCGAACACTTGCAAAATTATTTTATGTATTAATATTGGTCTAGTATGTGGAGTGTACCTTAAGACTTTCTACAAATTATCGTCTATATATTTCACGTTTTTTTTTAATTTTTCGAATTGACAGCTGCAATGCAGCGTCAACCTACCAGGAAGTCGATCTACTCTGGCGCCCTCTGTGCAACTCTCGGCGTTTGAAGTAAACAATTTCCGGTATTTAATTTACACTGGGAATTCCACCGGTTTTTTTTAATGTAATCACGAAACTGCGTATTTTATTTTAGCAAAACGGGTAACACGTATATTTATTTTTCTCTCTTTGTTTGAATATTTTTGTTATCGGTTTTTGTAGTGGCGCCATCTACCTCTGCCATGTTCGTGTAACTCGATTCTCAAGTTGTATCAAGTTGTCTATTGTCAAACGTCATTGTCATGTCACTTTTTGCGATTGTTAATTGTGTTATGCATTGTTATGTGCGAAAGTGGTTGAGAGCTTGTATTGATGATAGTCTTTAAATATGACGTCAAATCCAGGAAATGTGAATTCGCGAAATTCCCATTTATATCAGAGTAGAGAAGAATATTTAGAAAAGCTAAAACAATGGTTGGATGAAGCAAGGTTATGGCACGGATTTTGTGCAGGTTTTCCATACTATGTAAATTTGCAAAGCCAAACAGAAAATAACACATGGAGTCCTCTATATCCCGGTCGTTTATTTGTTAATAATAATTTAAGAAACCAAAATAATGTGCCAGGTGATTATATCACCCCTTTATAATTGTTTGTTTACATGATTTTTTTAAGTCTTTCAAGGTACTTATGAATTTGTGATACCACCTCTATGGAAGCGAATCGTTGCAGAATTTTTGGATTTCCTGATTTTACTTTTGATAAAAATGGTTGTTACTTTTATAATTATCGAAACTTTTTATGTAGTGTAAGTAGATTGACGTTTCTGTATGTCCGAGTTAATATTGTTTGTAGGAGCATAGAAAATTACAGATTTGAATCATTCAAGAAGAATTTGCAAGATCCGAAAATCGCTATGCAAATGTCTGTGGAAATCCTGACTTTGGAACTTTTACATCGATTTATTGTTTGTTGCTATGAGGTACAGCTGAGCATTTGTGTGTAATGTAAAGTGACAATGTTTTATAGGTTTATTGGTTAAAAGGGGGTCCGTGTGCCACTCCTGGTAAAAAATATATGGGTTTGATGGTAATCCAAGTTGAAAATGTTGTACCTGTGCCAGGGAGATCCGACGACGTAGTACGAGTGAGCCCGTGTTCTCCTCTTGGTCTCCAGAAAGCTATTGTTAGAGCTGTTTTAAAAAATGTTTTTCTTGGTGTAATGTTACCAGTGTGTTTTACTCTTTTTGTATTCAGGTTCAATCGCACTGGTTATGACGCAATGAGCAGCAGTTTGGTTGTGGAATATAACCCACAAATACAATTCCAGCCTGTACAGTAAATTAACAAATACATGAACTTGGTTGCTTTTATTAAATATAATCATGCATGAGGGAATCATTTTAATGTTAGTTTTACTACTAGTCATGAATGTTGTGTATTGTATACTATCGTGGTGGATCTCATCTGGAATCATTCCATGCATTGCTGACTGACGTTTTTGTTTTTCCGTCTTACATTGTTCTAAACTGTTGATAATGTGGCATTCTTTTTATATTCATATATTTAAAAATATCTATATATACCTATATACATATATAAACAAAGTTGAATTTTCGTGTCGTTTATTTTTTTTTAAGACAAATTGTTACCCATATAAATTAATACATTTGGAAGTTCAAGACAGAAAGAACAATAACAATATGAATTAACATAATTTAGTGAGGTTTAAAAATAGTTGCGTTTTCGTCAAAACTGGTAAACATGATGAAACTAAACAAAATCGTAAATACACAATCAAAAATAAAGAATACATTTGAAGAAAATAAATACTACAATTCTTTAATAACTGTATTTTAAAAACTATGCTAAATGCAAAATATTTTTGCACAGATCACAGAAATGAACGTTATGTACATTGAACAATTACAAATTTAATGAAGGTTCCCTGATTATCATTTCAATACTTTAAAGTGTACACTAAATTCATTTATAATTAAACTAAGTGAGACTCAATATATACAGATGATCTACAAAAATAATATTGCAATACTTCTGTCAAAGACAAGAAAAAGATTTGTGAACACCATCGTCGTAAAATTACTTGAAACTAGTGAAAAGTAGAAAAATTGTTTATATCAACCGAATACAACAACCTAGCCACACCCTCCATCCCCAAAGAAAATGGCACCGAGTATTATAATGAAATTCATCGTTACTCAAATAAATAGTTTCATGAAAAATGTAAATAAATAAAGTCAAAAGTTAAATTAATGTCAAGATGATCATAAACATGCATGAACTTTCCTCATGATCAATGTATCATTTTGTGAATTTTCAAGATTTTTCCCAGTCGTTGTTTCACAGTCTTCATCCCTTTACGTGGTTTAGGGGTTGAAGTCGTCGAGGTACTTGGAATCGAAACGGCATTTGAAGACGTGCTTTTCAGGTCTAATTTCGGTTTGATTTTTTTACGCCGGTACTGCCGTTTAGGCGCCTGAAAATTTAAACAAACATGTTACCCAAGTTTTCGTAAGCAATCACTTAGTTAAAATATAGTCGAGATACGAATTTATTTACATTTTCAGTTGCGTAAATGAACCGACCTGACCTGGCACTAGATATTCAATCTTAAATCTTGAATTGATACGCATTCACGTGAAACTCGCATGAACAACCTGCGCAAAAACACGTTCGCGTTCATGCGCTTTTACTACTTAAGTTTGACAATACTACAATATAGAATTACTTTTTCTGATGCTTCGTTCGCTCGTCTTGCAGCAGCCGCCTCCAGAACTTTCTCCACTGCTTGTTTTTTTGTTCCTTCTCGAGCCGGTCTGTTCATTTTGGGCAATAGGGGACCGACTCGTGCTTTAGGGTTCCACGCCTCGTCTATTTTTGAGCGTCCTCTGGGCTTAAATATGTGTATATCTTCATCATCGGAATTATCCAACGACGGATAAACTAAAACGAACAAAATTATTATTAGTAAAATTAAATGATATAGTATTACTGTAGTCTTCATCCTGGTGTACATTGTTTAAATTTCCGTCTTCTAGTGGAGGGCTATTACTATATTTTCTTCCAGATCTTGAATTCACTTTTCCTGATTGTAAATAAGTTTGGCTTATAGAGAGCATGCCAGCGATTGCTTCTTGAGTTGAGGGGGAGGCGCGACCGTTGTCGTCACTACAAGGTTAAATTTAATGAGCGGTTACATGCTACGTCAGCATAGCACAATCAATTGTCACTTATGCTGTTGCTTAATAAATAATTTATATACCTCGTGGTTAAAGCAGATGCTTTTAACAACGACTCTATACCATTTTTCGGCAATTCCATATCCAGCATAGGGTTTTTACTTTTCACTGCAATTAAAAATTTTGTAAAAATGTTACAAATCAAGATATGCAATTACCCGGAAATCTGAGTTTCAATGAACTCTGTTTTTTACTTTTTTTAGGGCTAGGATTTTCATCGATCGTAAAATTAAAACAGTCTTCCTCTCTATCACTTTCATCATGGAAATCATATATCGATTTTGAACTATTTGCCAAGCCAAAATGTTCATCTGGAATGTTAGAGTTGCCATGTGGAAGGACATCTTTTGATCTACAATATATTAATAGTTGTTCTGATGAGGTCAACTGTGTTAATTAAAACTTACCCTAATTTGAACTTTAATACAGCCCCTCCTCTATGCACAGCGGTTGTTTGTTCAGGGCGTGAGAACTGCGACCCGTCCCAGGTTTGTTCATTATCTAAGCTTATTCGTTGTTCAACAAAATTTCTTCCGTCGTATGGAAAAGTCACTGGTTTTGGGAGCGTGAGTTTGAGGGGGGAAGGTCGAGAATACTCTACTAGTTTTGATTCAGTGATAAACTGCAATAGCAACGACAATTAAAAGTGCACTAAATAATAAAACAATTTTTACATCTTGAGCAGACGCTTTTGGTGACAAAGAATAGTCTACGAAATCCCTATTTATAGGCCTTTTTCTTTTTCGCTTTGACTCCCGTTCCGGTTTAGGTGGGTTTAATTGATTGATATATCGTTCCGCATGTCTGATTTCACGCGACATATCTTTAAGCAACTGCACTGGATTTATCGTGTACGGAATTTGTTCCCTGACGTTTGTATTATACTAAAAAAACGAAATTTAATAAAAGTGCGGTCGTACAAGCTACGAAATACATCTTTTTCCGCATTCCATTGTTTTAAAGTCACGAGGAGCGTTTTCAACCCAACTAGTAACGTACTTGGACATTTTCTTTCCTCGGTATTAAGCTCTGATATTTTTTTCAATAAATGTAACGCCGCGAACCAATTAATTAATTCGAAATTCGGGTATCTATATTTCGCTTCAGTTTTTACTTTTTTTTCTATGTCATACACCCTGCAAGTAACGCAACGTTGTGTTATTTGTCCGTCTGAAGCAGATCTCTTGTTAATTACAATCCCCTCAAGGCTGAGTTCAAAGTCAACTCTGAGCCAAAACGTTTTCGGTAGCTCAGTGCCAACTCTGAATCAAAACATTTTTGAGGTGGATTTTTTAACAAGACAACTGAATAACCGTTCTTACGTTAACTGCATTGGTATATTAAGACTTTGAAGAAAATTTCCACCAAACACCAAAGAATCTATAGGAGTTAGAACAGCATGAATCCAACCAGTTGGTATCATCATGGTCTGACCTTGTCTTAAAACACATTTATAACATCTATCAACCTAGAAATTAATTTATATTAATATATTTTAAGGCAAGATTTTTAGGTTAATTTGCCTGATCTCCAAAAAACGTTTCACTTTGATTACTTGAGGTCATCCACTGTTGATACAACGTCAAGTTTGCCGGAGTCGGTCTTATAAGATAAAAGATTTTTTCACCTCTTAAAACATGGTACCATACACTTGTTCCACCGAAATCGATATGAAAATCTGTATATGAATCTTTAACACTCATTAAACAATACTTTTGGACTTGGGGTTTCCCCAAAGGAAAATCTCTTGGCCACACTAGGTTGGCCCAATCTAATTTTCTAGCAATCAATGGAGCCTCCACCAGTGGTGCCAACCTAAAAAACATACTATACAAAAGTTTATGACATATATAATAATATTACGCTGTGTTGGAAAATTCCAGACTGACCACATTAAACACTCTAGTTCTATTTAAACTATTAAAGTATTCCACATAGTCTCTTAGCTTCATTTTTATATTACACTGTCTAGTAACATCAATTACATCAATTTCTATCTCTCCACCAACGTACGATTCCACATCATATAAACTAAAATTGTCAGGTGGAAGTGTCATGTCAAGCCCGTCCTTCCCATCAATAACAATCGGGTTATTAAACCCTTGTTGTTGTAGCAACGTTTCTGTGATTTGCTGACCTCGCATATGTATAACCACTTCCCCTTCATTGGCAAAATGTCTCGCAAGCAGTTCCCTAATAAAGACCCCCGTACCTGTTTGTACTGGTTTTGCTGACGCATCTTCATCCCAGTAGTCATGTCTGTGCCAATTCCTGTACGGTTTGTCTAAAAATCACACCCATTAGTTTACACCACTCCAACTATGGTTAGGAAAAGTGATCCCACTATACTTACATATCGAAGGTCCAAATATTAGAGCACACTTTGGACAGTGATATTTATCAATTTCGATGGCTAAATGCTCTTGGAAATTACAACAACTAGAAAAAACGGATTTGTTTAAACGTAAACGGATTAACGTTGTGTCAAGTGGCGAATTCGAATTTATTCGTTACCTGCTGTGAAACCAGTCTTTGCAAGCATCACATTGAATCATAAAAATATTTGGATCATAAGGTTGACCACACAAACAATACGAGGCGTCCATTATAAAATATTATTTTGGAAAATGGTTGTGTAAACTAACCAAACTAATAACCATACTGACATTATGTCATTACTGTCAAATTACAGCGCAGGTACAGACATCTAGTAAGCGCGTGATGTTTACGAGTAGATGGCGCTGTAAGAGAAAACTGTGTCGTAAAATATCGTTAATTAAAGAAATCTGTAATTTGTTAATTCCAGACTTGATGGTTAGGTGTCACAATAAAAATTACAATCTGTGGAACAAAGTTTACAATAATTCCACTAACCATAAAAGTAAGGTAATTTTTTTGTGTCGTTGAGTTGGTAACGTGACTATGCGAGATATGTATTATAAAAAAAGTAATTAATCAAAATATTGGTTTCAAATCTGTATTGTTACTGTTTTCTGTATTGTCACAATAAATCAACTTGAATGCTAAGACCGTCGATTAAAGTAGCAGCCTATTTTACTTATTTTTGTGTTGCAACTAGTCATTAAAAGATGACGCGTTAATCTCTTACAACAACGTAATATATGATACGAAATTTTAGCTATTGTTTATTTATAGCGCCATTATTACATGTTTTATTGTGTATTATTTGTATTTATTTTACTAGTTTGTTTGCATTAGTCGTATTTACTTATTATATATTATTAGAACAAAACCGCTAAAATTTCGCTCTAAAAACAATTTATTTGTTAGTTAATTAGCAAAAGAGCGAAAGTTCTTCAAATATGTACCAAATTCTTTAGCCAATCTTTGATTTGTGTTTTAGGTACACATTAAAAAAGTGTTGTTTGCAATTTCGGACTTTATATATTAGTTGACTTACTTTACTTTTTTTATTTCACGTTTTCGTTAGTTAAGTATTCATATTTAGGTTTCTAAATACATGTCTATCATCAAAATTTTGTTGTTGCTTTTTCCGTGACATGAACTTAATTTTTAATTGCTAAATGGTGGAAAAAACCGTTGTTCGTGCATGCATATTTCAACAACAACAACAACAAAAGTTAGGTTAACCACCTTGCTGAAAATGTTGTCGTTCAGTAGGTTATTCTGGGTAAAATCTAAAAATATCTAGGTTGGCGAACTTTTAAAAAATATCAGTGTACTGAACTTTAGTCAAATTTGTATTTTACTTGTATTATTTTTACTAATTGTAGTCGCTGAACATAGCAGTGATCAGTTGAAAGTCGCATGAACAGCCTGCGCGTTCAAGTTACAGCAGTAATATTAAGCAGGGGAAGCACGGAAAGCATCTAAAATGATCGTTCTAAAAGAAGTTTGACTTATTCGGTTATTGTTTGTAATAATTCGTTGAAATTTTAATGCATTTATTCACAATATAACCTGAATATGGGTGGGCGGGCCACAGTACTTTTTAATAAATAGCATTGTACCAACTTAAAAAATTAAATTAGGAATGACTGACATTTTAGCGTCAAAATTAGACACAATTTTTAATTGACATCAGTTATGGAATAAACGTGATTAGAAGAATGAGATCTACTGACTTGAAATCGTAAATTTCAATTTGACAATCATGTATGCCACCATAAAAAACAGGTGGGTGGGCGGGGCATCATATTTTTTATAAAAATAGCATTGTACCAACTTACCAAAAAAACAAGAATACAGATGACTACTATTTTAGGGTCAAAATCAGCCACTGCTTTTAATTCGCATATCCTAGTTGTCAATTATAATATATTACGTAATTAGAATATGGTATCTACTAACTTGACACCATAAATTTCAACTTGACAACAATCATTTATGTCAGCATTAAAATGGATGGGTGGGTGGGGCACAATAATTTTTGATAAATAGCATAGTATCAATTTACAAAATTAAAATAGGAATGACTGCCATTTTAGCGTCAAAATTAGACACTATTTTTAATTGACATCAGTTATGGAATAAACGTAATTAGAAGAATGACATCTACTGACTTGAAACCGTAATTTCAATTTGACAATCATGAATGCCACCATAAAAAACGGGTGGGTGGGCGGGGCATAATATTTTTTTATAAAAATAGCATTGCACCAACTTACCAAAAAAAAAGAATACGGATGACTGCCATTTTAGGGTGAAAATCATCCACTGCTTTTAATTCGCATATCCTAGTTGTCAATTATAATATATTACGTAATTAGAATATGGTATCTACTAACTTGACACCATAAATTTCAACTGACATTTATGTTACCATAAAAATGGGAGGGTGGGCGGGGCACAATACGTTTTAATAAATAGCATTGTACCAATTTACTAAATTAAAAAAGGAATGACTGCCATTTTAGCGTAAAAATTCGACACAATTTTTAATTGACATCAGTTATGGAATAAACGTGATTAGAAGAATGACATCTACTGACTTGAAACCGTAAATTTCAATTTGACAATCATGAATGCCACCATAAAAAACAGGTAGGCGGGCAGGGCATCATATTTTTTATAAAAATAGTATTGTACCAACTTATCTACTGACATCTACTGACTTGAAACCGTAAATTTCAATTTGACAATCATGAATGCCACCATAAAAAATTGCATCATATTTTTTATAAAAACAGTATTGTACGAACTTACCAAAAAAAAAAGAATACGGATGACTGCTATTTTAGGGTGAAAATCAGCCACTGCTTTTAATTTACATATCCTAGTTGTCAATTATGGAATAAATGTGGTTAGAAGCTGGTATCTACTAACTTGACACCATAAATATCAACTTGACAATTATTTATGTCACCATAAAAGTGGGTGGGTCGGCGGGGCATAATATTTTTTGATAAACAGCATTGTACCAACTTTCAAAATAAAAATAGGCTTGACTGCCATTTTAGGGTGAAAATTCGACACTGTTTTTAATTCACATCAGTTATGGATTAAAAGTGATTAGGCATCTACTGACTTGAAACCGTAAATTTTAATTACACGATCATGTACTTCACCATAAAAAACGGGTGGGTGGGCGGGGCATCATATTTTTGATAAAAATAGCATTGTACCAACTTACCAAAAAAAAGAATACGGATGACTGCCATTTTAGGGTGAAAATTAGATACTGCTTTTAATTCGCATATCCTAGTTGTCAATTATAATATATTACGTAATTAGAAGATGGTATCTACTAACTTGACACCATAAATTTCAACTTGACAACAATCATTTATGTCACCTTTAAAATGGATGGATGGGTGGGCGGGGCACAATAATTTTTGATAAATAGCATAGTATCAATTTACAAAATTAAAATAGGAACGACTGACATTTTAGCGTCAAAATTAGACACAATTTTTAATTGACATCAGTTATGGAATACACGTGATTAGAAGAGTGACATCTACTGACTTGAAATCGTAAATTTCAATTTGACAATCATGTACGCTACCATAAAAAACGGGTGGGCAGGCGGGGCATCGTATTTTTTTATGAAAACAGCATTGTACCAACTTACCAAAAAAAAGAATACGGATGACTGCTATTTTAGGGTGAAAATCAGCCACTGCTTTTAATTCACATATCCTGCTTGTCAATGATGGAATAAACGTGATTAGAAGATGGTATCTACTAACTTGACACCATAAATTTCAACTTGATAATAATTTATCTCACCATAAAAATGGGTGGGTGGGCGGGGCACAATACTTTTTAATAAATAGCATTGCACCAATTTACAAAGATGGTATGTACTGACGTGACAACATAAATTTCAATTTGACAATCATTTATGTCACCATAAAAATGGGTGGGTGGGCGGAGCACAATACTTTTTAATAAATTCTATTTTTTAACATACTTAATCTTATTAAAATACACTTAAAATGAAGTAGTCGGTTCAGCAGTTCGTCGATCTGTCAAAAACGGACATGCAGAAATATTAAATTAAAAATCAATAGATACATACTAAACATTTTCCATTATGTTTGTGTGATTTAATTGCAAATAACTTGTATTTTGTTTGTCGCTGTTGACAACTGGCAGACGTTGGATGTTATAAAATTTTATAGAAAGAGATAAACTGGAGGAGTTTTATTCTGGGCGGTTATTTTCAGTCCTTGTCGCTTTCACTTAAACTGCGGAAAATAGCAGGAATCCAGACCTCAGAAGTTACGTAAAAGAGTGGGTACTGTATCGATTGATTCGGAAGAGTGGCGAGATGAGGGCGCAATTAAAAATCCGAAAATAATTATTTTTTAAGAAAATTGATTGTGGCAAGTTAAATAAAATATAAGTGAGCTGCTGAAACTCATCTGTCCAAGGCGACGTTGAAACGAGAAAGCTGTGCGAAGACAAAATGAACGTTGTTTTTAATTATTACCGGGAGATTAAAACATGCAGCTAAAATGCAAAGGATATTACCTCATTTATAACGCTATAAAGGCGAAAACTTCCTTTTTAGAAGTCCCTAACCTAGTCACCCGACAAATTATAATCTCATTTCTGTGTCGTTCTTGATGTGGCAACTTCCTTAAAACCACAGTTTTCTTAATATATTATAGATTTAGGAAGTCTTCGTATTCAAATGTAATTTTCTCCCGACTCCTGACGGAAAACAGCTGGTCAGGTAATCTTTCAGTAATGGACGCATTGTGGTGGACATCAACTGGGGATAAGTAGCTTATTAACTCTGATAAGCTTGCAGCCGTGCGTCGTCTCAAGCTTGTTGCCAAGTAACAATACACAAATGTAGCTACTTTGACATTTAATCACAAGGGTAAATGACCCTCTGCCCTGTTACCTTTAATTTAACTAACGAGAATTTCGTCTAAGCTCTTTTTCAAATTCTACGACTTTTAGTTTGCTGTATTGTTATATCATATCCGGTATACAACTTTAAATACACCACAAAACGACATTTCGTCACTAACTATCGACGAAATTATAAATTTTGCTTGGCAAATCTACGACTGTATAAGTGCCACTTTAAACGAGTCCATAGAAAACCTAAGGCACGGTAACGCCGTATGTCTAACCACGTACCGTCGACATGCAGCTTTACACATACTTCGAATTTTCCCTCAGGGGAAACGGAGCAGCGACTTCTTGTAGAAAGTTTATT